CCCCAATTTTTGAACTTTCACTGGAAACTGCCACCCAACGAATTCTCACGAGGGCTCCAGACCCCTATCTTCACCCACTACAACTCCTCTCGGAATCCACTAGAACTCGCCGAGGAATTTTGATAACTTCTTTAAAAAGTTCATATCAGCGAACAGACTCCAACGCCCCGCTTCCCCATATTCTGTAAATTAACCCCATCAATGGTTGGATTTCGCTGACAAACACACAAAAAAGCATTCGCACCAATCAGAATGCAGCAATGAACCCCCACCGCACTTATGTACAACAAACTCTAAACCCCAACGACTGAATAATAGGTAAGAATGGAGAGGGGGAAACATTGAAAAAGGCCTATCAAGGTACGCATGGAAGGAAACGGAACAGATAAGGACCACCCAAAGCAGTACTATTTCACTATAAAACTTTCTCACAGCAGGATTTGCTAACGAGACTCTCAGAAAACGTCGTGTGACAGGTGCCGTTAAATGGGGAGGCTTGCCAGATCATAAACTAAAACATTATGAGCTTCCATACTAGAATCACTTACACGTATTCCCAACCGAAAAATCACCGAGATAAGGAAAGTCCAATAAGTCCCGATTCAACTCGTACACGTGGCCCACTTGAGTGTTATCATGTCCGTAATAAATGAATCCACCTATTGAAAAGTATGCACGCCATGAAAAGCTGTGACAATATCCACCCACCATGTGCCAGTCTTCCATTGGCTATTCCACGCGATTCCCTCAAAAAGAGGAATGGCATTCTAAGTTTGTAGCCAGTTTTCCTTGTGTGCATTTAGAATTGTTTTTGCATACGCACGTTTCCTCTTAGCTTACGCATCATAATTTTACTAATCGCTCGGAGTTAACGGAATGCCAAAGATAGAAGCATTGCTTATCATCAGATGCAGGATAACTGTCTTACGCCTCAATTTACCCGGTTGGTAGTATATGCGAAAGCGAAGAAGGGCATCATTCAAGACAGCAAGGTAGCTACAGACAAGTTGAATACTTGCTTCTTCCAATGAAAAAACAGAATGGTACTTTTTAATCCACCCCCCTTTTGATTTTTTTTGGAGTACGTTGTTACCTTCATGCACAAACCTGCCCATGGTTGCGTTGTTTAACCAAATTTGTACTTTGACAGGCGCTGTGCGTATTATGTATGTATACAATCGCCGGTAGATGCACGAAACAAAGGTTTGTCTTGACTACTTGAAAAACATAATCTCAAGGTTGTTTTGGGTCACGACTTGATATCATAATCGATGGGATTTTGTTAAATGGAAACCCTTCGAGCTGGTAAATTTTGTCTGACCATTTCCTCCAGCATTTCCAGCGTTTCCTCAGCTCCCCAACCTCCCTCTTTGCAATCGTATGCTACCAACACTGAACAGTATAGGCATCCGACGTCGAAACTTGATAGAAAAATTTACTGGAGAGTCAGTAAAGACTCCTAAACTCCCTGAAGCCGATATTAGACAAGGCAGTAGGGGTGTGATTACTAAAGGATAGAGTATAGTCTTGGTTCTCTCATAAATAGGACTTCAATCTGTTCAGCCACCCATATGACATAGTGGATGTTAATTTTTAAAGTACCCTCCAAGTATCCCCGAAATACAGATATGTGCTCCTTGATGGGAGAATTCAAACCCGCTCCATAATTTATTTGGGTTTTGTGTTCCTTTGTTTGAGTTACAATCTTGCAGAAAACTGTGGTGCATTATCGGCTTGGCATGCTATAGTATGCGCACTTACATATATGTTGAATTAAGCTCGAGTCCTTGATAGTCCTAACTCTACAGCTGTTTTGGGTAACAATACCTCATTACAGGATTGCAGCAGAGACTTTCCGACTCTTTGAAGCTTGCATTCAAGAAAGATGTAGGATGCGACAACTGCAGGACTAAAAATAGTTTAGGTGTTCTCGTAAATGTGATTTGTATCTTTTCCACTGCCAGCATGACATGATGAATGTAATTTTCCAATTAACGTATCCTGAACTTTTTTCCATAATGAGTTATATTAGCAAGAGTTACTTGATTAGGTATATCTCTGATAGATTTAGCACTGCACATACGATACGTCTATTGCCGGATACCCGGCAAGCAATGCCTCAGAGATTTTTGTTTAGGACCTATCGTTACTGCAACTGAAAGCTATTTGCCCCTTCAAGCCGGATTCAAGGAAATTTCAAATTAGAGTAAAAATAAGGAACAAGATTCACTTTTGAACCATATGGATGGTTGCCTTTCATGTATGAGATCGACCCCCTTTTGTGGATATGCCCAGTTGTCACATATGCCTATTTTAGCAATTTCGCCATGCTTACCCTGTAATATTCTCAATTCACAGAGGTAACAGCCAAAAGAGGTGCTCTTACAACAATTCTTCATGCCTTTTTCAATTAAGAGAGGATTTAAGTTTTTCAAAAATGGGAAATAAACCACTTGGGTGGCATTTACCTGATACCAGCTATGCTATCAGTGAATGTTCCACGGGGTCAAATCCTTTTCTGGCTTGAAGCTCTCCTCAATGGGATGGGACACAACCCGACCTGGGAGTTGTGTGTTGGGTGGGGTCTGCTCATGAATACAAAACGAGCATTGAGCTACCTTCCGTGTTCTTTCAATCCAGTTTCGTTGAAGTCATCCCCAATCTGGTCAGTAATGACCCTTTTTTGATGCATAAGATGAGAACAACAACTATAATTTGAATGTTGGTTGACTCCACTGATAATCATTTATACCTGTCCGATATCCGTGACATTGAAACTAAGCAAGAATGAAATTCCATTACACGTTATCATTAGTAGGAATTTTTCAATTCATTGGTACTGTCTCAAGTGCAGATTCTGTTGGAGGCTGTAGCCCCACCGCTGTGGAAAAAGGCCTCTATGCTGAATACATCAAAGTGGCAAATCATGAATGGAAGGAGGGTGATACTACACTGTTAGAATCTGGCGTTGCTGTAGTTAGCCAAAGAGAGGCAGAATATTCATGGGAAGGCATAACTCAGCAAGACTTTTTGGTTTCTAAAAATACCGATGTCCTATATGGCCACGATGTCACAACGGCTAACTTTGGCTTGAGGCTTACAGGGTATTTATATGCCGAAGCAACTGGAGACTACACCATAGCAGTCACATATGCTGATGATGCAGCTTCGTTGTCAATCGGGGCTGGAGTTGCTATGGAATGTTGTGGATCGACTCAATCCCCAGCTAATGTCACTGAATTTGCACACTGGTATGGTCATCTTGAAAGTACATCAGTCTCGAAGACAGTTTCCCTCACCGCAGGAGTCTATTATCCTATCAAGGTCGTTTACTTCAATGTTGAAGATGGTGGCGAATTTAATATGTCCGTCACCTATCCTGATGGAACAGCTCACACAACTGACATTAACTGGTACAGCTCAACTGACAATAGCACATCTTGTCCTCTCTCCACAACTACCACCATTATATGGACTGGAACAGATACTGAGACTATCACAGAAACAGCTTCTGACGGGGATGTTTTTGTTACAATTGAAGTACCAGAAACGACAACCTCTACTACTGAACCATGGACAGGTACTGGAACATTTGAGACAACAATTTATCCTTCAAATCCTAGTGACCC